GAGGGTGAAAGCTGTCACACATTTTGCTCATATGTGTGTCTCTTATCCACTAGGTGACAATGTATTGACAATATATGAACCCAAATCCAGCTGTGGAATGTCAATGATAAGTCTTAAGAGAGCAACATGGTAATATGTGACTCACGTTGTCTGTTGACTGTTCATGGGCTGACTGATTTATTTTAGTACTTTAAAATTAGATTTTGCTAAAACTTTCAGTCCATTAGTGCTTTAGAATTAGGGGACCTAAATATTTGAGTTAGTGCTTTAGAATTAGGGGACCTAAATATTAAAATTAGTGCTTTAGAATTAGGGGACCTAAATATTTGAGTTAGTGTTTTAGGGCTAGTGGAACTAATTTTTAGATTAGTGCTGCCCACCACTGCCGACTGGTAAATTGAGAGCTTCGCCTTCTGCCTCAGCTCTCGCTTCACCATGACAGACCGGTACAACACCCGCATCACTGCAGATGCAGCATCAATCCGCCTGTCGACCTCCCACTCCATTCTTCTCTTATTCGTGAACAAGACCCCAAGATACTTAAACTCCTCCACTTGGGGCATGACTTCCTCCTCGACCCGGAGAAGGCACCGTACCGTTTTCCGGCTCAAGACCATGGTCTCGGATTTGGAGGCACAGATCCTCATCCTGGCTGCTTCACACTCGGCTGCGAACTGCTCTAGTGAGAGCTGGAGATCAAGATCTGATGAAGGCAATAGGACCACATCATCTGCAAAAAGCAGAGACATGATCCTGAGGTCACCAAAAAGGATCCCCTCAACACCTTGGCTGGACCTAGAAATTCTGCCCATAAAAGTTATGAACAGAATTGGTGACACAGGGCAACCTTTCCCAGCAGTCAGCCAGCAGTACCAGCTTGACACCAGATCTGGCCCACACCTGTCTGCTGGGGAGCATTAAGAACTGCAGAGTGAACATAGCTTTATTCAGGCCAGGAAATAAAAAGCATAAAATGAAAAAAGTACAAGTCCTGATGCATCTCAGTAATCCAGGTAAAAAATCAAAAAGAAAAAAAAATTGTATAGGTCCTCTGGATGGGTTCTTCTCTAATGAAACGTTTCATCTCTCCTCCAAGAGACCTTCAGTCTGAGAGTTTCAGGCAAAATTCAGGCTTTTAAGCCCTGCCTCCATGTGACTGATACTCACATCACATGGCTATTGTTGACACCTAATTAACACCTATTGTTAACAGGGGGTGGAGTGATACTGGCTATAGCAGCGCTGTAGGAAGGGGACAACGGGTACTTTTTTTTTTAAAGTACAAGATTATAAAGGAAACAGAAACCTACTCTTTATTCAAGACTAAAAAGTGTAGCCAGCCTCTCGACTGGTCGAAGATAAAAGAAATAGAGTTTAAATAACGGGATTGATGAGCTCACAGCCGAATCTGAGAGGATTGCTGTTTTAAATCTATAACAGGTAAAATAACGATGAGCTTTCCACAAACCCTGCTTCAAAAGAAAACTTTATTGACGCTGCTGGTGATCAAATTGAATCACTGCTATATTGAAAACAGCTTTTTTAATGCAGCACCTTCATCACTAATCTTCCCATAAAGACAGCAAATATGACCATGCTGCTGATGTGCTGCTTGTTTTTTCCTGTTCCTGCCTGAAGAATAAATACGTGACTTTTTTTTAACTTCGGCATGCTCCGCATTTGTATTTTGCTTGTTGAAGATGGGATAAAGTTAGGTGTTTTAATGGGAATGTATCCAGATCATTGTTCTGCATGTAGGTGAGAGGAGTGACTGTAGCGTAGACCCATTCATCCTCAATGCACGGGGGTCCGGGAATTCCATTGTGTGGGTGTTTTTACATTCAAACGGGGTGGTGGTGTGGGGTGTGTTTTATTCTTTCTTTCTTCCTCTTTTTTCTTTTCCTTAAATCTTTGCATAATTGTGCTGTTTGATGGAAGCCTCAGTATGATGGGGGCGCAAACTGTGTCGCAGATGTTATTATGGTCATAACTTCATATGTTCCCCTGAACTCATTAGTGGCTCTTTTTTTTGGGTGATTAATGGAGTGTTTTTGCAGCTCTGTTTGCTTTGGGAAGAAGCAGTGGAAGTGGTCAGAGGAAGGTCAGATATGGGGTTAAGAGGATTATAAGTGCAATATTTAAATGAGGAAAACAACAAGAAAAGCTGTTTGTGCTGTACTTTAAAAGCTGCCTCCAGTGGCTCTTTATCATCACCATGGGAGCCACAAGCCTGTGTTTCTCACTCCCTGATTGCAAACTTAAGAGAGGCAGACAGAAACAAGCTAAAGAATAAGACTCAAACAAGCAAGCTGTGCAAAATACCATCTTAAATTGGTTAATCTCTGAAAATTCAGATTCACGTCACGTGAGCTGTTTCATTCGTTATCATGGTAAAATAAAGTCTTGATGCTGAACCAGATGAGCACGACATCTTTGCCTGAAAATATTATTGGTCAAGCTTTAGCTCTGCATGAGAGGATTCTCAAACCCTGTGCAGGTCTGGAAAAACACTGTGAAGTTAAATGCGCCTCTCCCCTCCTGAGTCCTTCCATTGTTTGTTTACGTCTTATATTCCTGAAATAGTCCAGGAAGTTGTTGACATGCGTTCAAGTTTAATGCGCTACCTTTACTGTAACAATTGTGAGGACAAATAGAAGACAGTAAATGAGCTGTTCTTGTGTGTGTGTGTGGACCCGGTGGACACACCCAGCACCGGTGACCAGGGGCCCCATAGGAAGGCCCGTGTGTGGCGCCCTCCAGTCGTGATGGGGATGATTAAGAGTTCCTTCCTCTCCGGCTCGAAGAGACATTGTCCCAGAGAACAGACAGGCTGCCGACACCGTGTGACGGTGAGGAAGTGAAGGTTTCACAGTCTGAGGGTCCAGCGCTGATGCTTCATTGAAATCTAAACAAACTGCAGCGGGAATAACTCAGATCTATTTGATTTAATGAATCAACAAGCTCAAGAACGCTCTCCTGACACACACACAAGTTTGTATTTCTATCTTTATTAGGACCATTCATTGAATGACTTTCATTCATTTCCAGTCATTTTTAATAGCCTAACCCTGACCCCTTACTCTAAACCTGACCTAACCTCAATTCACACCTTAGTCCTAATCCCCAAAACAAAATTTAAGTTTTTCATATTAGGACAAGTCTTTGGTCTCCACAAGGACTACTGGTCTTAAAAAACTGTCCTGAAAAAGTAACAAATACTATTACACAGATACATTGTGCAGGAGATCCTTAGATAAAAATGAGGAGTCATGGAGGTGATTAATGAGATAATTGTTGTACAGAAATCTTTTGTTCATTTTCATGTTTGTTCTGTTTATGAGTTCAGTTTGTTTATTTTTCATTTTACCATTATTTAACCAGGCATGTCCTACTGAGATCACAGATCTCTTTTTAAAAGGAGGCCTGGGCCTGAAGGCAACCTATTGTAGATGTTTTTGGAGGTGGAGAAACCAGAGTACCCGGAGAAAATCCACGCAAACACGAGGAGAACATGCAAACTCCACACAGAAAGACCCAGGGATTGAACCCAGGACCTTCTTGGTGTGAGGTGTCGGCGCTAACCACTGAAGTATCTGTGTGTTGTTCACTGGTAATGGTTGGTTGAAGCAAGAGATGGATCAGTGCATCTGGGCCTTATGAAGGCATTGCTTCAGTCAGTCAAAGAAGAATCGAGTCTAAAAACAAAGCTCTTTGTCTATTTATGTTCCAACCCTCATCTGTGGTCATGAGGTTTAGATTGTGACTGAAAGAACAAGATCTCAGATACAAGCTGCTGAAATGAGTTGAAAGCTCTCATCCCTCTGACAAGGAAAACTTTAAGCACACTGGTTGGATTCCTCACTGGGCACAACATGCTCGGCTGCTACAAAATGGTGATGGGACTCCAGGACACTGGTCTGTGTGATGCTTGTACTACTTAGGCCACTGCCTGGCTCTGAGCAGTCAAATGAAATAATTCTTGAAGACCCCTTTATGGATCCTAACCTCATGTCCTTCATCTGAGGGATGTAAAGCTTTGATTAAAGCTCAGTGTCTTTTTGGAGAGAGCAATGGGCCCACTTACAAGGCCCCCAATCACGAGTTCTTTACCCATCTCCACTCACCAAAAACCATAAACATAAGGATTAGAAATAAAAATTTGTCTGAAAAACAATTATTCCAGTAAAATATAGATGACCAAAATATCTATTTAGGTACAATAACAAATATTTGAACTTTGTTCCTTGACACATCTTGCCTTGGTGGCCCAGACATCAAGCCTTTAAATGTTTCTCTGCTCAGTGGGAACAGGCCCAGGGCAGAAAGAGAGCTCACTGGAGGGATTGTGTTTTTTTTTTTGGAAACACTCCAGGTGGAGCTGGAGAGTGGACAGTCTGGGTTTCTCTCCCAAACTTGTTGCCTCCCCGACTGGACTAAACTAAATCTGTGATCTAAACTTATAGTATGTGACACATCACATCAAATCAAGGATTAAGTCCCAAAGCGGATTGTGGAGAAATAGATAGGGTTTTACTTTTGCAACAATTGCGTTTTGTCAAAATATAATGAATGAATGCCTCATTTATTTTCAGCAGTAGCTACAAAAAATAAGATTTGGAGCAGAAAACGCTTGTTTTTTCTCCATTTTCTGTAGACACATAGAAATTCAAATGTGTGAATGTCAAAGTTTTCAAAGTTCATATCATAGTTTTTATATGGTGACTGTTTGTTTGAGAATTACTTTTCAGTATGCATTATTTGCCCTGCGTTGACTTGGGAGTCAGGGAGTGACAGACACAGTGATGGGGACCATGGGGACCACATGGAGCCACTGGCATCTTTTGATCTTGGTAAATGTTTCTACACATCTTATTTTGTTTAAATACGTTCATTTTAAATTGATCATTTTTTTAAAAATCAGAAATGCTACAACTTCGCCATTGTAGTGTCTAGGAGAAATGGTATATTGTTTTTTTAAAAAAAACTCCATCAAAACTTCATGAAACTTATAAATATATAAATCTTTATTTATTTATTTACTTCAATACGCTCAGGTAACAGTGTCAGGAAGCATCAACCTTATTTGTTCTGAAGAAGAAACTTTTAGTCAGAGCTTCATAAAATATGAAATAAAATCCACATTTCTCGTCAGAATAAAAAAAGGTGGCAGCAGAGGCTGAAATCTATCACCTAAATATGTGAAACTCAGAGTTTATGACAAAATTCAAGAATTATGTCAAAAAGGACATAACACAACAAATACTGTTAATTTCCTACTATATATAGATAAAAGATAAATACGAATAAAAACATTAATCAGAAATCTTTGCAAAACGTGACTCACAAACGCTGCCTCAATAAAATATGTAAAACAAAATGTTAGATAGAATCAGTGCATATTCATTTTACACAAAACAAAACATTTGAAAAGAAAAAAAACACGAGCTCACTTTTATTAAAGAATACTGTTGCGGTTTGCCTGCATGGTGTGTGCGCTAAAAACAAGCATTCCTGAAGGATTTTCACTGTTTCACAAATAAAAAGGTGTCAACATCGAGATATTACCTGCTGAAAAACATATGACATGTTGTTGTAAGGGTAGAGGAATGCTAATTCATCCAGGAATGAAAGTTTTGCTAGAACAGCAACATTTCAGATTTCTGCATTTGAACTAACAGTGAATACAGCAGCACGGACAAAATTAACAGTCTGGGATTTTACATGAAGATATAAGACTGGGGGGAAAAACCCTTTGGTTAACTTTCAAACAGGAGTAAAAAAACAGACAAATAAATGGCAGTGTCATCAGTATATGTAAATACACAGTTAATTTGTGCAGCTCTTTCTTTTATAAACTGCTCCTACTCTAACTGTATCTGTACACAGAAATATATAAAAATTTGATTTTAGTTGCTCATTAGGTCAAACCAATCGAACAAAATGAAGAAAATTACATTTCTTGATGGCAAAATTCAAAGGAAGAGCGTAGTGGTGAATCCGAACCCTGTTTCCTGCGTTCACATGTGATTTTAAAAACCTTTCCACCCTCTGAACCAACCTGAGTTTGTGGAGTTATTTTCTCACAAAATCACAAAAGTAATGTTTTGACTTTTTGATTTTCTGATCACTCTTTTTATAAAAAATAACCCTTTCCTTCCTTACTCCTCTTCATGCTCATCCCGAGTTGTTTGAATCGGTGCTGAAGCTGGAATGAATATCTTTTGTTTCACAGTATGTCAGAGAAATACCTGAGCCTGTTTTTGGCTGTATCACAGTGAAGGTGAAACGCACCGGCAGTGTTTAAAAACTGGAACAGAATCGACGGTCCACAAGTTTGGTTTTGGCGGCGCAGTAGACTTTACGGTGGACGCAGTGGATTTGAGTCATTTCTTTTAGTACTTGAAGAGGGAGTCTCAGGTTTTCCTCTCAAACGATGCTACAGAGTACTTTGGAGGAGAAAACTCTGTTTCTCCGAGACGGGGGGGTGGGGCTTACACAGGAGGGGTGGAGTAGCGCACCACGTAGTTGTAGTCGGGCGGAGGGCTGTGACACTCCAGGCTGTCATCCAGAGCCGAGTCGTCCAGACTGAGGTCTAAACGAGTAAGCGTGGGCGGGAACTTCTCCTTGGCTGCGTCATTCAGCTCCGACTCCTTACTCTTACTCACCGTCTTCATCCTGAAAACATAGAAGCAAAATAAAATAAAATAAAGTAAAATAAAATAAAGCTAAAAAAAGTAAGTTTTCTTTGACTGCATTTGCAAACTTTTATTCAAAAGTTATACATTTTGCTTAGAAGAATGTAGTTTATATAGTTTGACAACTTTCTGACAACTTATAGGCTAAAGAGCAATAAATGATCACACTTAAACTTCAAAATTCAACACCCGAGTAATTTTGTTTTTGTTCATAAAAATTAAATGTGGAGAACTGACAAACCACCAAACGTGCTGCTAATTCATTCCTAAATAAAAAAAAAAATCATTAAAAATAAGATAAAACATTCCACTAAAAATACTTTAAATTCACTGTTTTAAATAACCTAATTAAAAAGGATAAAACACTATAAACAAGACCTTACATTAAAGCATACTCACTATTTGGCAAGATAGTTTCAAACTTTAATTTAATCATGCAAATATAAATTTTTGCTTGATTCTTTTTTAGATTTAATTACTTTAGGTGACAAAACATACTTTTGCACAAGCCTGCAGGCACAAATGTTTATATTAAAATGATGCAGGTAAACTGTGAAGCAGGTAAAGGTTAGGTCAAAATTAGGCAAGAAATACATCAGTATTGCCCTTTTTATGACATGTTCTGTAACTGTTTGTTAATCATTAATTAAGTGTTATTTAACTTAGTTATTAGTCATTTTTTAATGGTACCCTTTATGTTAAGTGGTACCTAAAGTGATTTTTTTTCTGGTGTGGCAGGAAGATCATAGATCATACCATATATATCTTAATAAATAAAACACAGAAACTATTTTCCTCTTAACTCTGTAAAGTAGGACTTCAGTATTACACAAACAGATTCAGAAAGCTTCAAATCATGCTTTGTTTTCTAGAAATAAGCCACAAAATGCTGGACAGTTGTGGACAGCCTGCTCTAATATACTTGCTTTTAAAGCTTGCCCTTAAATACGATCAATCATCCAGAGCTTTTCTGCCTCGTTTGACTCCCAGAATATGAGTAACGGAGTCTTATTGTCTCAGACGTTGCCATGGGTTTCCAGAGTTTCTCCCCTGAGAGCGAAGGGTCAGTTCCCAGCAGGAAGAAGACAAGCGGCTGTACTGGAATGTTTTACTGATTAATAAACTACCTGGTCAAAGGGACTGAGCCAAAAGAATGGAGACACACTCAGTGGCAAGAGAAGCAGTCAGGCTTCTTTGTGATAAAAGAAATGAATGATTTTTAGCGCAAAAAAAAATCATGGGATTTGAAGTTTTGGTTAAGAAAAACATAAAAAGAAAAGAACACCAACATGATTGTTTAAATAGCTTCAGATAAAGTGAGGTAAGAGGGGCATCAGGGAGGTCCTGGTAGACCCTCTTGAGTTTAAACGGTGGCAGTGATTGAGTGGCTGCTTAGCGAGAAAAGTGCTCCCCTCGAAACACAGATCATTCTCTAGATGCCTGAGCTGATTTTTACTCCCCATCGTAACGAATTCTTTTCACACAGTTTAAAATGAATTAATTCCAGGGAGCAAGGTGAAGTGAACTAAACATTCAAAACAAAGTGTAATGGTAAAAAAAACAGTAAATGTTAAAACATTGCTTTTTATAATAACTGATTTTTAACCAGAGGGCTAAAATCTTTTGAAAATAAGTCAAATAAACATTTATCTCAGGTTTAGAAAGTCAATTGTTTCTAACATGTTTACAGGTAAGATTATCATCCCTTCAGTGCCTCTGGTCTTCTGCGTTAGTAATTTGTGCTGCCATCAGAACTTTTTGTTTTGTTAAATTAAAGTTTGGTTTATTTTGATAAAGTTCCTTATGTCTGATGGGCTCGACACACGGGAGGCAACATCGTTCCCTCTCCATTTATTTCCTGTGGAACTTCTGTGATGAGGCAACAGACACTGACTGTTCAAATATATATGGATATATATTTATACATATACATATGTAAAATATAAATATAATGTAGGAAAATCACAGACTGCTTTGAAAATGTCAAAATCCCTCTGTTTTCATAAACTATCAAATTCTACAATATTGCTTCCATTACATACGATTCCTTTACTTAGGGTGGCAGTAATGCACACCATTCAGTTTCACAATTTAACCGATAAAATCCTCAAGAACCTATCAAATTTCTTGGAGACAAGCAACCCAATTTGCAACTCCGCTGTCGCTATTGTGTCCCGTGTGTTGGATTTCACCGCGTGTGTCAAGCCCGTAATCCGACTAAGAAAAACCCTCCTAAAAACCACGAGCTTGATGTGACAAGCAGGCTCTGTAAGGATGCAGGAGCTAAAGGATGATGTCATATTTTATTTCCCCCCCAGCAGCTCTTTATACGGTCGTATAATTTATGAAGATTGTCATGTTTTCATAAGTTTAGACTTTTTTCTTTGCAGCTGAACTGAGATTCTGGTTATTTAATGAAGTGTTTTAGTGTATTGAAATTATTCCAAAGGGGAATAACAATGTAGGTTTGAGTAATTACTCAGTTCAGGCGTTTGACTGTTTGCATTGACCCTGCCTCTGAGCTGCTGTAAACATTAAACCCTTCAAACACAGACAGAAACGATCACAACCAGAAGATTTATAGATATCTACATCAGTTTGGACATTTTCATAGAAAAACCTCTAAATTAAGAACATAAACTGTCTCACATTTTTGTCCCTTCTTTTCCAACTGCTTTATGCGTTGTCAGTATCCACATCTTAAAGTCGTAAAGAATTCCCAGGAACGTTTGACGTCATTCTTTTGAGTTTATTTCATTTATTTATTTATTGCTATTCAGGATGCTCTCAGTGAAAACAGTGTTTTAGTTTTCTCCTAAATAAAAGCCAAAGTTCGCCTTGCTTTTGTTTTCAGCTCTGAAGCTCGTCACGTTGCGCTGTTTTCCCCTCCCCACTTCCTCTTTGTGCCTCAGACAGAAGAGAAAACCACCAGCAGCTGATTGCTTTTTAGGGTTAAAGAAATTTTGTTTTTGTCTGCACTCCAGCACAGCAGGTGGGTGTCCACTCAGGTACGTTTGCAGTGTCTTATTCAGAGTGTTTGTGTTTTTTTTAAAGGTTGTGGTGCCGTGTACGTACGCCAGCGCCATGATGCTCAGAGGTCGCCCTGCCAAGGATTCGAAGCACATCAGAGTCTTCATGTTGTCAGAGGAAAGGCCCATCCCGCTGTCTGACTGACCCTGAGGATCACACAAATACATAAACAATTCAGAAGGTTTCACTCTGTTTCTGTTGTTGCATGGGTTGAATCACAGGCAAATTAATAAATGTGAATAGTTCAAGTTTATTTATACAGCGCCAAGTCACAACATACGTTGTCTCAGGGCACTGTACAGTAGAAAATAGAAGTGAAAGCAATTAAAATATAAAAATAGATATTAAATGTACTTATTTCAATGACATGAAAATCGTTAAAAAAACAAATGAATTTTTTTTAACGCCCAAATAGCACCTCTCAGGGAAATGTCATATTTTTGTCATTTAATGCAAAAATATATTTTTTGTTTAAATTTATTTAAAAAAAACAGACTGAACTGTATTATGACAGCAGAAATCCACTTTAGTCTGAGCTTCACCTGGACTCATCAGTCTGCTCAGACTTAAACTCTATTTTTCCAAACTAAACTCTTTTGAAGAGTCATCTGCAGCAGGTAAGATATTGATTGTTCATGATCTCCTTTTGCAGAAGCCCACTTCAAAAGATCTGAACTGTCACTTCTGAGCTGTGAAACGTCTCATCTGTTTCTGCTTCAGCTCGAGGAAGATTAACTCACCTCATGGTTTTTATTTGTCCCGGCCTCCATGGTGATCTCGTCAAAGGTTTTAACGCTAGCAGGATGGATCTTGACATTCCTGGAAGGAAAAAGAGAAAAAAAAAAACACTTCAGTTTCTGAGAATAGTTTGCAGAATCTTTGAATTATATTAAAGTCAAGTTGAGCAACAAAACTGCAGGAACCTAATCACTTAAATCAACACTTTGCCGCCTTAATGACACCGTAGTTTGAACACACGCTGTTTACTTTGCCTTTTCAACACTTTGACTCTAAAACAGAAGCTCAAGTTTAACTTTAGGGATAACTGATGCTTTTCAACACCTCCTCAATAAACACGCTTGGAGGACCTGCGAAAACCAAAGAGCTCCACAAATATTATTTTAAGCGGGCTTAAATCTTGACACCGGCTCCGAGTTTTCTGGGGGGAAAATTCTTGACAGGAGCTAAAAGCCCAGGAGCTGCGGTGCGTGTGTGACTGTTTCTTATCGAGGCCCGGTCCAGTCCTCATTGTCCTCGAGTCAGACCCAAACATTCTCCTGTTGGATTCAGTCAGAGCTGCACAGGAACAATAATGTTTTGGATAAATTTTTTCTTAGTACAGAATGGAAAAAGTCTTATCTGTTTGTTTACATCAGCTGGACGATTTGTGCGTGTGCGTGTGTGCGTGTGTGTGTGTGTGTGTGTGTGTGAGGCAAGGTGATTTATTTATTTTCAGTGTCCTTGTAGGTTCACAGAGGAGCTGCAGCAGATGCGAGCCAACAAAACCACAAGTGTCCAGCCAGTGCAGCAGCTCTCTGCAAAGCTACGACTGGAATTTGATCGTAAAGGAAAAAAGAGAAACAAATTTTGAGCTCATGACGGATTTAAACAGAAATGTTAAAAAGTCCACTCTGCTTGTTTGTTAGCAAAATATCACATGAACCAGAGGTTGTTTTTCAATGATACTTTCAGAAAGTTTTGATTAGGTTGACAACTCCAACTATTTAACTTTATGACTCAGTGGTTGCCACGGTTAACTATAATTTTTACAGCTGAAAAGCTAGAAGTTGACAAGGTTATTTGCGTATAATTAGTCTAAGTGGTTTCATTTTTAAAAATTTATTTTGCAAGAGGCTATAAGAGGTTTTGGTTGTCTAAAAATGTGTAGATGTGTGCAAGGGTATATTGAGATATATAGATTCAGACTATGCTTTATGTAATGAATTTKACATGTCTGGAATAAATCATAAATCAAATCAAAATCAAATCAAATCATAGAGCCTGAGCATTTACCTGAATGCAACGTCTTTACTTAAAAACATGCCAGTAATTGTTCAAGTCTACTCTTTTTGTCTGTTAGCAAAATATTTCATTGATCACTGTACAAATTTGCAGATGCCACAAACGTGCCTCCAAACTCTGGCATGGCTGAGAATCATCTACATCCTCCAACTGCTGACAAGATATTGTAATATTGCCTGAGACTGTGCATAATGTTGTTTTCAGTTTTTTCATGAATTTATCTCAGTTCTAAAATTCTGACATGAAAGGCAATGGGTGATATAAACCCCTTTAAGGAATGATGGAATTAATAGTGCGAATGCTTCACAAGCATTCACACTATTAAGATAATTTTTTTCTTTCATACGTTTTTCAGAACCTTGCTCCGCAATTTTTGTGCTTTTTCTACTATTCAAACATCAAAACATTCAGCTCCTCCAGGACATTCAGGCTTTGACTTTTGTTTTTTCAGCTATTTATACTTTTTTTTTTTTTTTTTTTTTTTTAGCTATTTCACTTTTCGGCCATATTTTTGTTATTAAAATCAATGGAGCTGTTTTCAACATCCTTAAAACCCTTCAATAATGGTTAAAAATCTTTAATGCACTTTACACATTTTGTTCTTGGTCAGGTCTTTTTAATTTCTTTGTGAAATATTTAGCTTTCTTTGTTTTTTTCTGATATTTCTTGCTAAACTCCTTTACAACTTCCTGCTGTTTGCCTGCTAGATTGTACATTTTTGTGCTTTTAGCTTCTCTTTGCTAATTTGAGCCTTTTATGCTTCTCTCAGATTCTTTCTGCTTATTTCAGCTGTTTACTGCAGTTTTAGCTACCTTTAGCTACTAGTTGTTATTTGCTAAAATGAGTTTTAAAGCTAAATTCACATTTTGGGGGACATTTCAGCTTCTTAGTTCCACAATCATGTGCTCCTTTTGCTTCTTTATGCTAAATTCAGCATTTTCAGCTACATTTTAGCCATTTTGATGCACATTTCGGCTAGTTTAGCTATTTTACAACAAATTGCAACTTTTTTTGTACTTTCATTCTTTTTTCCTGCTAATTTTGCTTGTTTAACACCACATTCAGCATGTGCAGGCTAGTTTTAACTTGTGTCTGCTACATTTAGCTTCTTATTATGCCAATTTACCAGTTTTTTTTCTGATATTTTAGCCATTCTGCTAATTTCTGCTTTTTTGTCTTTCTGCTTCTTTCTGCTAATTTGAGCTTTTCATGCTTTTGTGTGTTTCAAATGAACTTGCATTAAACTTTACCTTTCAGTTAAATTTTTTTCAGTTTTCAGCTAAGATACAAGAAGCATTCACACTACCATTTTGGCAGGAAATGCAACTTCTCTAATAAACGGTTGGTGTGAGAAGAGAAAATTGGACACATTTAGTAGATGTCGTGTCTGATTTCAGAAATGACAATGATCTCACCAGTTGCCCCCTGAATCCCTGAGGGAAACGGGTCGTGAGCTCGTCTCCCTTGTATCCACAGCGGTGGTTGGCTCTCCCACCTGCACCAGCAGGGCTGTGTTGATGGGGATGTAGTGTTTGCCCTCCTATAAAAACAAAACAGATTTATTGGTTGATGCAAACAAACTCATGCAAAGACGTTGGTGAGAGTCACGATGGGTTCTTTTGTCTTCACAGTTTGTGAACTGACTAAACATTCTGCTCTGACATGCAGCATCAATTACAGTATGTCTCTGGCTCTTAGTTCTTACAGCACTGTTTTACAAATCTAATAACTGCAGCTCAGTTCCTGCCATTACAGTAGCATGTGTGTATTTGTTTTTGTCTGTTAGCAAAATATCCCATATCTCACATGTTCAGTGTGTTCTGGAATGTGGTTTCTTTTTATAAGACATACAATATGGTGTCGATCCAACCAGCGATGAATGTTAAAGTGAGATAATATTTGAAGGTTTCTGCCTGCTGTACCTGTTGCACGCTGGCCTGAAGCAGGTCTCCCAGACGCTCCACCAGCTCGGTGAAAGTGGGTCGTTGCTGCGGCTCGCCCTGCCAGCAGTCCAGCATGGTCTGATATCTGTGAGCAGAGAATAAATCACACGATGAAAGCCTTCAGCAGGGAGAACGAACATTCCTGTCAGCAGAGTTGATGTTTGTGTGATGCACTCTGAACAGAGAAGACAACAGGACTGGTGGTCCTTTCATCTTTAATAAACCAGAGCTGCTCAGATTTCTGCACAAGCTGTTTGCACGTCTGCACCGATCCTGACCGACTCAGCTCCTCGAGCTCGCTCAGTAAGCTTTGTGACAGGCTGTCAGCATCTCTAGCGCATGTGGGAGGACGCTGGACCTTTATGTGAACGCTGCGACCCCCGCCTCATTTAGTGGAAGATTAGAAACAGAGCTCTGCCGCTGCCTTTTTCAATTACCTTCACAGCGTGATGCTGATTGTGATCCATCTGTAACAGTCATTAATGCAGCCACTGGGACTGCCTCGTATCATCACAGCCAGGTCTGAAGACTCCACTTCCACCATCTGTGTGCAGTCCGAGCCGGTTTGAAGAGGGCCGAGCAGCTGCGGCTCACACCTTGATGAATGTGGAGCCTGATTATCCAGGTGGTTTTCCTTCCAGCCGAGCAGGATCCCCCGCTTTTCTTACGCGCACCACCACGCAGGAAGTGGACACATTGTATGATTGCACAACTTTAACCACACTTCCTGCCTTTTGCGTAATGAGAATAAATAGCACAGCTCCACATGTCGCGGGTCACAGAGAGGGTGGCGTGTTTGAGTGGGGGTC